ACCCCAGTTACAATGGCTAAAATCAAGAACTCTAGTAACAACAGATGCTGGAGGGGATATGGCCAGAAGGGAACCCTAATGCAGTGCTGGTGGGAGAGTAAACTTGTTCAACCACTTTGGAAAGTAGTATGGAGGTTCCTCAAAAGACTCCACAGAGAGCTCCCTTATGACCCAGCAAACCCACTTTTAGACATTTACCCAAACAATCACAAACAAGGCCATACTAAAGTTACCAGCACAACTATGTTTATTGCAGCATTATTTACCATAGTTAAGATATGGAACCAACCCAGATACCCCTCAGTAGATGAATGGATCAAGAAAAGTGTGTGTGTGTGTGTGTGTGTGTGTGTGTGTGTGTGTGTGTTGGAATTCTGTGCCTCCATCAGAAAGAATGACATTGCCCCATTTGTTAGGAAATGGAAAGACTTGGGAAAAAATTATATTGAGTGAAGTAAGCCAGGCCCAAAGAAACATAGGTCCCATGGTTTCCCTTATCTGCAATAACTAGTAGATATCTAGGACAAGCAGAAAAAGGTTAAAGGCTATGTACATATGACCATATAAGCTGATGCCAAGCAAAATGAACCCCAAGATAGGGACACAAGAGATTTTATCTTTCTTGCTGTTCTTTTTAATGTACTTATAATGTACACTATGTGATTTTTTTTGTTTCTTTGTATGTTCTTCTCCCATGGTATAACCCCTTTTGTCACTGTATTTGATTCCAGTGTCCTGCATCTTGTCTATACGTTTTTCTAATTCGGGGAGGAGAAGGGAAATAACAAAATGCTGAAATAAGGATACAGGATGACTCATTGTACCAATGCGATGTACAAGGTACTATGTTGGAAAACGAACTTTAGAACTTTATAACTTTGGGGAGCAGGAAGTAGTAAGGGAGGGGAGCAGGAAGTAGGAAGGGAAGGAATGATAAGGGAAAACCAAAGGAGGAGGTAACAATGCTCGATAGGAAATGGCCTCATTACCCTGCTCATGTACTAACCCCTCTGTACAGTATCTTTATAATAAAAATAAAAAAATAGAAATAAGAGATTAGAAAGTAGCTTCCAGGAGCTAGGAAGTGGGGCGGGCAATGGAGAGACATTAGTCAAAGGAGACATAGTTTCAGCTGTAAAATGAGTAAGTCCTATGGATCAAATGTATAGCAAGTGGCTATAATTACTAATGCTGCATGCATACTTGTGCCAAGACAGTAAATCTTAAACCTTTTCACTGGGAGGAAGGGAGGGAGGGAGGGAGCAACAGGGAACAATGCCAAGTTGTTGGGTATGTTAATTTACTCGACTGTGGTAATCACTTTACAATATACACATAGATCAAATTATGACACTATAGGCTGTAAAAAAGTATGACTTTTATCTGTCAAATACACCTCAATAAAACTGCAAGCAATGAAATAAACAAAACTAACAAAACAAACAGGGGCTGGGAAGGTGGCTCAGTGGTAGAGCGCTTGCCTTGCATGCCTGAGGCCCTGGGATCGATTCCTCAGCACCACATAAGCAAAAAGAAAAAAGCCGGAAGTGACGCTGTGGCTCAAGTGGTAGAACGCTAGCCTTGAGCTAAAGAGCTGAGGGACAGCGCCCAGGCCCAGAGTTCAGGCCCCACGACCGGACCCAAAAAAAAAAAAAACTAACAAACAAAAACTTTCCCTGTTTCTCATTTTTTGTCCGTCCTGGGGCTTGAACTCAGGGCCTGGGCACTATCCCTAAGCTTTTTCTGCTCAAGGTGAGCACTCTACCACTTTGAGCCATAGCGCCACTTCCAGTTTTCTGGCAATTAATTGGAGAAAAGAGTATCACGGACTTCTTGCCCTGGTTAGCTTCAAACGTTGATCCTCAGATCTCAGTCTCTGGAGTAGCTAGGATGACACCACTGACTGCCCAGAGCCTTTCCCTGCTTTAACAGCCTGGTTTTAAAATTTGTAAATGGGCATATATTATACGTGCATCTTAAATTAAGGAAAATATAAAAAAAAACAACGGGGACTGAATCAAACTCAAAAGTGTCTACACAGCTAAAGAGACAATAAAATCAAGTAGTAGCCTAGGTATTGTAGAAAATATTTATAAACCATATAACCATAAACAATTGACAACCAAAATATAGAAGAAACTCATACAATTCAACAGCAAAAAATTAAAATTAAAATGTGGGCAAAGGACCTGAAGAGACAAGATATAAAAACCATGGTTAAGAACATGACAACGAGGCTGGGAAGGTGGCTCAGCGGTAGATACTTGCCCTGAGTTCGATTTCTTAGCACTACATAAGCAGAAAAAAAAAAAGTTGGGAAGTGGCGCTGTGGCTCAAGTGGTAGAGTGCTAGCCTTGAGCTGAAGAGCTGAGGGACAGCGCCCAGGCCCAGAGTTCAGGCCCCACAACTAGACCCCCCCGCAAAAAAAATCAAAACCAGAACTACCACCTCAGCCAGTGAACCCACTAGGAAGTAGATATACCCAACAGAAATGAAATCTACATCTTGTAGAGATATCTTACCCTCAAATTCACTAACAAAAGTTTAATTTGGGAAAATATTCTACTAATAATTGAAGATATGACTCTTATAGTTCTAAAACCCTTCAAGACTGATCTGCCTGCAATTACTGAAGAATTGCTGGTAGTCAGAAAGCCAGTTTTCCTGTAGCTCTTGGTAGAAAAGGAGCCTGTGAAGAACTTATACTAGAAAGCTAAAGCAAAGCCAATATAGTCTGTAGTGAATACATTCGGATTACTGTGCTAAATGGCAGGGCAGGATTCTGGGACTGTAGTAAGTACAGGGTGACAGACTGAGTTCTTTGCTGGAACATAAGCAAAGATACAGAAGAGTTTCTCTAGGATAAAGGTTTAAGTAATGAGTGTTATCAACTAGTTTGAAGATAGATAGGTAGATAGATACACACACACATATAATTTAAGCCAACAATTGAAAATAAAGATTTTCAAGATAGCCCAAGAATAAACAAACAAGACACCGCACAGTTAGCTAGAGAGGGAAAGGGAGGTGCTTTTCCCAGGCCATATGGCCCTGTGGGCCCTCCTCCCTCACAGGTACCCTCTAGGCTCTACTACCACCCTGCTGTGACTCTGCTGCCCCCGTGTGGCCATGTCAAGTCTTAGCAGCAGAGCTTCTAGTCAAAAATCAAGCCCGGACCCAAACTAGACTAGTTTAAATGATTCCTCAGCTCCTTTACCCCAACTCATGGCCAGGACTTTTCCTACTTATAAACATAGGGCTTCCACAGCTGTAAGGGTCAGGGTAGCTTTTAGGGACTCCTATCTGCACAGGATTCCACAGGTTCTCTGGAGCAGGGTCCAGAGAATAAGAAAAGCCTCAGGAAACCTGTCCACAATGCAGTCAAGAGAGACAGAGCAGAGATGGCATCTCTGGAGACCGAGGTCCAAAGGTGAGCAGTGAAACCAGAACCCACACTGGCCTCGGAAACCACCAGGGGATCCAACATTCCCACCCATGGGAGTTCAACTTCAGTGTACCTTAGCCTGCTGTTTGAGCAGTAAACCGTAGAGATTCAGGAAGTGGATGCCAACTGCACGGTCACCTCCACAACATGCAAAGAGATTTAGCTAGATCCCACCCTAACCTCTTCAAAACTGCTACTAGCCAATAATGCTGAGATTTAAATAATAATAAATAAACATAAACAAAATAAAATGATATAATAATCATAATAAATATTATTTGGTCCATTGTGGGGCTTGAACTCGGGGCCTGGGCACTGCACTTGAGCAATTTGGCTCAAGGCAAGCGCTCTACCACTTTGAGCCACAGTGCTACTTCTGGTTTTCTGGTGGTTAATTGGAGATAAAGAGTCTCACACACTTTCCTTGCTCAGGCTGGCTTTGAACCACCATCCTTAGATCTCAGCCTCCTGAGTAGCTAGGATTATGGGTGTGAGCCACCTGTGCCCGGCCCTAAAATTATTAATCAGTATTTTCCTACCTCCACCCAAATCTGTTTTTTGCTACTTGATTTGTCAGACCTGTAACAATAAGGGTGACAGGATTCTTGGATTAACAAATAGTTCCATTTTTCAGAGCACTCTACATGCATAATGACACATTCTATGGCCCTGAGTTACACCTGCATATGCTCCTCCTGTGTGGAGATGTCTGAGAGTAAAGAGCTCTAGCTCCTGTCCGGTGACCCTGGGCGAGTCACGGCCTGGCTCAGAGTCTCTGCTGTCTCTTTCATCATGGGAATAAAATAACAGCCCCATGTCACAGGGCTAAGTGAGTTCATGATGTCTGCTCAGCGGCTGCCACAGAGCCTGGCACAAGTGCTCAAAGAACCCTGAACTCCGTCCTGCAGTTTCTCCAGATTGGTTTGAAATGCAATTCCTTAATTCAGTAAACACACACACACACACACACACACACACACAAGTTTTAAAACCTGATTTGCTGCTCTCTTTTCAACTAACAAAGGGTCTGTGGCTAAAATTAAGTGACACTCAAGTGGGCGATGCCTCTTTGCCCAGCCCTGAGTTGAGTGCCACTTTCAGAAGAGCTCTGTTCCCAGACTCTCCTGAACTCTCTCATTGCTCACTCTTTGGGAGCCCTCCCTTCTCCCCCTCCCTCCCTGCTTATAAGGCAGGGAGCCTATCACTTGAGTTGGACCCTCCTCTACCTTTCATTCAGCTCCTTATAACAATTACTGTCATGCTTCCCCATCAACTCTGTATTATTTTTTAGGATAAAAGTAAATAGCATGTGTGTTTTACCCAGTGTGTTCACGTGAGCGTAGGTTTACTGTGTGTGTATGCACACATACATGTGTGCATGCGTGTGCATGGGGTGGCCCAAGGAGCAGGAACGGGTAGGTGGAGCACAGCCATCCTGAGCCGAGAGACACAGTGGCACCTTTAGTGCGGCCCCTCCCATTTTCCTTCCCTCTTCCCTCCACCCCCCTCCCCCACCCCCAGCAGGCTGCTTGGCTGCCCGCACAGGGCCACTCACCGGTTGGTGTTCTCCAGAACCTCCACCTTCTTCCGAAGCTCCAGGTTCTCAGTGGAACAGGACTCCACCCTATAAAGGAGCAAGGAGATCAATGATCTACCATACAGCCAGCAGGGAGGATCGGAAAGGAAGGGAGAGGACAGAGACAGGCCCAGCCCGTCCAAGATAGCCAGACCTCAGTAAGGGGAGGTAACTGGGGGTGATCAGACACGTGGAACTCCTTCCGGGTGTCATGGCCTGTTGCTTCTCAGTTCTTCCCCACTGTCCTCATTCTCCTCCTCTGCTTTACGGGCACCTGGAGCTATGGGCTGTGCTCCCAGGCCAGCCATGGCTTACGAAGCCACAAGTGTGGGTTGGGGACAACAGGGAACCATAAAAAAGAAGGGGGATCTGCAGCTCACGTACCCAACAGAGGCAGAAAGTTTCTCAGAGAAATACTGGGCCCTGATTGCCTTTGTAAGTGATGGGACAGAATGGGGCTGTGTTAATGCCAAATAGTCAATACTTCTAGAATCATTTGGAATCCACCAACTACTCCTTTCCTTGGGTACACAGAATGACTCATTTCTGGGACTGAGGCTTCTTTCTCATTTGAAATTGTATAAACTCGTCTGCTAGAGAAATTTTTTTTTCTTCTCAGGCTAATAAAAATTGTATTGAATTCATCTTTTTTCAAACAAGCCTCCTGGTGGTCTGGGCTTTTCAGAAAATCAAAGCGTGCCTTCAAGTGTTCTTTTTGCAGAAAGTCCCTGTCCTGCAGCATGAATTACAGTGGTCAGAAATGATAAAGCATGAAGCACTGACGCCAGGCTCCTGACCCGGCTACACAGCACGGCTCTCTTGGGCTCAGCAGAAGCAGCATGCCTCCTCTGCGACGTTTCGGGAATGTCAATTTGTACTTGCTTGAAAGAAAGCCTCCAAGGACTGCAAGGGGTGATCCTGAGCTGATCCTGTGGTTCTAATGTCTAAGACATTAGTTTTCCTTCTTACTAGTATTCTAACCTCCCCTTCCAAATGACCACTAGGTGGCAGGCAAAGCACAGTGGATCTAATACAGGCTTTTAAGGTACCCAAGAAGCAGGGGGAACTCTATTCCTCCCACAGACCCAGCACCTACATCCCAATCAGCCCAGCCTGGGGTTAGAAGGCTTACTTTTTCTCTAAGCTGTCCATGTATTCTTTCTTCTTTCTTCGACTCTCCTGGGCAGAAATCTGAGAAACAAGGAAGAGAACTGGATGAATTGCCAACGCAGTACGCAAACCAGTTTTGTGTGGATGGAAGACAGGAGGCAGTTAACATAGAAATCAGCAAGGCCCACTCAATTCTGTGCCCACTTCCGGCTTGTTTAACTTGTCAGCTCAATCAGGAATCACCATCAGGCTCCATCAGCTCTGGCCTTGGAAAAAGGCACTGCCCAGAAGCTCAAACAAACTTGTAGGTCACAAACTACATGACCTCTGAAAGGTGAGGGCTTTCTAGATGGAAGAGAGCTCCATCTAGATCAAATAAAGCCAACTGGGCACAGACAGGCAAACACATGTGCTAGTTCTGCACATGGATGAAGAGTAGTATTCCCTTTACTCTTGCCTTTTGCTGCCTTTGCCTCTTCCTTCCTGCTTTCTTGTGCATTGGCCCCGTCAGTCAGTCAGTCCTGCTCAATCCTGCAAGGCTGAGGACTAAGCAATGGCTGAGCCCGGAGAAGAGATCAACTGACAAGAGATTTTTTTTCCATTATGAAACACGGGGGGTGGAGGGAGGGAGAGACAGAGAGAGGGGAAGAGACAGAGAGAGAGAAAGAGACAGACAGACAGAGAAAGAGAGAGAAAGAAGGAAGGAAGGAAGGAAGGGAAGAAGGGAAGAAGGGAGGAAGGGAGGGAGGGAGGGAAGAAAGAAGAAAGAGAGAAAGAATGAGAGAAAAGAGAAAGGAAGGAAACACAGAAGAAAAGAAAAAAAGGAAGGAAGGCAGGAAGGAAGGAAGGAAGGAAAAGAAAAGAATCTGGCTAGGAGCTGGTAGCTCCCAGGTGATTACAGTTCAAAGCTAGCCCTGGCAGAAAAGTCCATGAGACTCTAGCTCCAAAATAATCAACAAAAGGCAGGGTTAAAGGCGTGGCTCAAGCAGTAGAGCACTAGCTAAACAAGCAAGACACACAAGCACGCATGAGGCCCTGAGTTCTAAACCTCAGTGCCACTTCCCCATTAAAAAAAAAAAAATCCAGCTAGGAAGATAAGCAGAAGAGCACAACAGCTAGGTACATATGACCATATAAGATGATGCTAAGCAAAATGAACTCCAAGACATGGACACAAGGGGTTTCTCTTTGTTGTTGTTGTTGTTAATGTACTATGTGATTTGTTTCTTTCGTATGTTCTTCCCCCTGTTGTCACTGTATTTGATGTTGGTACCCTCGTTTATTTGAATTAGGAAAGGGAAGGGGAACAACAAAATGGTGAGACAAAGGACGAGGAGGGAACCGCTGCAACATTGATATTCACAAGACAATATGTTGCAAATGATCTGTACAACTCGAGGGGGAGGGGGAGGGGCAGTAGGAGGAAAATGAAGGAAGGGGTAACAAGTTTGGTAAGAAATATACTTATTACCTTCCTTATGTAACTGTAACCCCTCTGTACATCACCTTGACAATAAAAAAAATTATTTAAAAAAATCTGGCTTGGAATGAGCCTTGGTTGCCTAGCTAGCATGAGTTCAAAACCCCGGCACTACTACTACCAAAAAAAGGCAAATAAGCACCACTAATACATATATACATTCATAAATTATATATATGTTATATCCATCATAAATGTGAAACGTAGAGGGCTGAGACTTTGAAAAATGAGTATAAATGGAAGGCCTACTGTGGAGTGGGTCCTTGGGTAGCTAGGGGTATGTACGCTACTTTGGGAGTCCAAGACTCCAAGGGATGGAAGGAGCTGGAGGAAGACAAGGTGGGTGAGCTGGTCTAGGTGTTCGTGGTGGACAGAGCCGTGTCCGCCAGCGCTGGCTCTTGGGCGGGAGGAAGAGCGGGAGGACTGGCTCCTTCCCACTGTCTCACGGGGAAGTGCCTCGCTGTGAACAGCTTACCTTGTTCTTGATTTTCCTCCGGATCTTCTTCAGGGCCTTCTCCTCGGACTTGGTGAGGGGCAGTTTGGTGGGGATGGGATAGCCCTCCGCAATCAGGGTCCTCTTCTCCTCCTCGGTCAGGACCAGTGGGCCAGATCCCTGCAGTTTCTGGGTAGACCACAAGGCAGAGCAAGGTCACAGGGATGAACCGGGTGCGCTCAAGAACTGCCCTAGGAGAGTGACAAGAACCTGTCCCAGCGCCCGGCTAACAATGCAGGGATGGGCATTCCCTGCTCTCCAGGGGAGACACGGGGCCTGTGAAATGCAGGGATTCAGAGAAGCCTCACTTCTTAACTTGGACCTCTCAACCCAAGAATCCTAATGCAGCAGGAAGGATGAAGAGGCCCCCACTCTGCTATCTCTCTCATTTCTAAAGTAAAACCATGAGCCAGCACCGGTTCCCCATGGTTGTCATTCTAGCTAGTCAGGAGGCTAGAATCTAAGGATCTCGCTTCAAAACCAGCCTGAGAGGACAAATCGACGGGACTTTTATCTCCAATTAACCAAGAAAAAAAAAAGCCAGAAGTGGAGCAATAGCTCAAGTGGCAGCCTTGAGTGAAAAAGCCCAGGGACAGTGCCCAGGCCCTGACTTCAAGTCCCAGTACTCACACCGTAAAAAAGAAAAAACAAAAGTAAAAATACAGACTCCATATCCCCATCCCTGGAGACTTCGCAGCCTAGGAGCGATGGAAGATCCAGCTGGAGCTTTGTATTGTACAAACGCTTTGATGTTCTACTTCTATCCATACCAGGATTGCTCCACACCCCCTCTTCTAGCTAAAAGGCTCAATGGCCCAGAGAAACACCTGCAGACCACTTCCACGGCAGTCCTGGGCTGACCATCAGCAATGAGGGTGAGAATTGGAACTCATCTCATTTAGCCCAGAATGGAATGACTCACATATATCCACACAACTGCATCCTCTACCAGACTCAGTGAAGGCTGCAAACAAACTCCGCCTCTTAAGTGGTGTCTGATCCAGACCCTGAGCTGAACTGATACCCAAGAAAGGATGAGAGATGGTAAACTATACTATCCTAAACGTGCTTTAAAACAGGAGGTATGCATTTGTGGGCTGAGGGAAGGCTTAGAGTAGGTGATAAGACTTAGATTCAGACATTCTGACAGAAAAGGGAATGGTTTGCTTCCAAGAAAACAGCACCACTGCATTCTGAAAAGTAATAGATGCCTCTTCCTACAGTCAGAAAGGAGCTCTTGACACAGTGTGGGTGTTGATATTGAAAGCCTACACAGGTAGGTAGACATAGGAAAACATACATGGGTATGACATGAGACAGATTTTCTCCATAAATACATGGTATGGAATGGTCCATGAAGGCACACAGATGTATATGATATAAGCTATTTGGGCAGTTTAGGGAGCGAAAGGTTAGGTGAGAATGTTGAAAGGGTTGACATTGATCAAGACATATTGTCTTCATAAACTGCTTTGTTAAATGGCCATCTCCTTTGTATAACTACGTAATGATAAAAGAATTAAAAATAAAATACTATTTTATTCACTCCACTTCCCCCCACAAAAAAAAAATGGCTAGGTTCATGTCAGGTGCTGGTAATCAACTCCTACAATCCTAGCTACTCTGGAGGCTGAGATGTGAGAGTCACCTTTCAAGCCACCGCAGACAGACAAATCTGTGAGACTCATCTCCATGTAATACTGGAAGTGGAAATATGGCCCAAGTGGTAGAATGCTCACTTTGATTGAAGAACCCAAGCGACAGCGTGAGGCCTTGAGTTCAAGTCCCAGTACCAGCACTAGAAATAGTCACCCCACACTTAAAAAAATTAAGTTGCCAGGTGCCAGTGGCTTACACCTTAATCCTAGCTACTCAGGAGGCTGAGATCTGAGGGGCTCGGTTCAAAGCCCCACCCAGCAGGAAAGTCCATGAGACTCTTACCTCCAGAAAACCAGAAGTGGTGCTGTGGCTCAAGTGGTAGAGTGCTTGCTTTGAGCCAAAGAGCTCAGGGACAGCGCCCAGGCCCAAGATCAAGCTCCATGAATGACCAAAAACAAACAAACAAACAAACAAAAACCCAACTTTAAGTTATGTATTTAAATTATGTGTTTGAGCTTTAGGCATCAAAGAACTTAATCCCAGAGAGATGTGTACATTCTTCAAGGTTGTTTATCTAAAATATGAAAGACATTTCCTATGACATATCTTAAGAACTCAATATGTATGGTATAATTCTGCAGAGAAAAGAACACAATTTGATCCCTCGTTCTTGCAGCTTTGGAACATGGAACTACAAGTCAAGACTGGAAATGAGCGGAAGAAAAGGAAGAGAATTTGGGGGCCAGGTGAGATTTGTGGGCAGCTGTTTAATAACGTTGAGGGTTGTTGGCACTCGATAGTTTGAACACAGCTCCTGTTGAAGCTCAATGGGGCTGTGCTGAGAGGAGAGATGGAGAGGAGGGGGATGGGTGCCTTTCTAGTGGGAGGAAGGTAGGTCTCGCAGGGCTGGAGTGGACCGTTACAGAGGAGGGGGTCGCCGACCCCTCATCTCTCCTGCTTATATCTTCCTGTGCCTCTGCCCGCATCCTTCTGCTTCTCCACCAAGCACGGAGCAGTAGGTGACCCTCCCCACAAGGCCGAGAAGATGCTCTTACACTTTCTCATGCACAAACCTCCAAGCCCAAATAAACCTCTTTTCTTGTTTTTAAATAACTGATCCCATCTTGGTTATTTTATGACAGCCCTAGAAAATGGAAAACACTTCCATTACCAGAAACTTCCTAGAAGGGTAAATGCCACACTGAGAGGGTTCCAGTCTCTTCGCAAAGGCTCGGCGGATACTCACGTGGGGCGCTGTGAGGAGGGGAGAGGTGGACAGGGCGGATGGGGCGCGGGGCACGGCTCTGGCAGGACTGTGGGTCTGAGGCAGGCCGAAGGGGTGCAGGCGTGGGTTGGGGCTCAGGCTGCCCTCAGAGTCGCTGCTGTGACTGCTGGGAGGAGTTGGTGGCAGGTGCAGCTGGTCCACGGAGGCTGAGGGAAAGAGCGTCATTTCACCCCTCTGTAGCGTGGTTAAACACCTGTGTTGGCTCCCCGAGCTGACCTAGTTGGGAACGGGGTGAAGCCACTATGCACGGGATGAGAACTGCATTCCCGTTCTGCAGAAAGAGACACGGGGAGCAAACCCAAGGCGCTAGGAAGGGGACGATACCCGGTTGACAGGGAGAAATTTGGGGGTGACGTGACCACGCTTGGCAAGATTTATACACTGTGGATTTTTTTTGATAGTCTGACTTGTAACTCATGCTAATGGAGTATGCATTTAAAAGAAAATCTTTGAGGAAAAACAGCAAACCTTGGAGCCCCTGTGGAGTCCTTGGAGAAAAGCTCCTTCGTTGAGGGGGGCAGGCCTGGCCTGGAGCCTGCTCACCCCCAAAGCCTTTCCTGGGGGGGAGGGGCACTGCTATACTCTGCCAGGACGGATGACACCTTGTGGGTGCCAGGGAGACACCTGCAAGGCAGAAGGGCTAGGCTTTGATGGAAGAACCTGTGTGGCTCCTACCTGGACAAAGGCACTCTTAGGGCCCCCTCTCTCTTTTTCTGAACAGTGGCTGAAGAGGTCCATTGTGCCCAGGGCCCATTACTGAACCAAGGGAGATAGAGCTCTGGGAGAGGAGCGCTCTGGCAGGCCGGGCGCCTGCTGGCCTTACAGACAGCTTGGCTAGCTCAGTGGGAGGTGTCTCACCCCACGCCCTGCCTTTCTCCAAGTGGAGGCTTCTCAGGGCTCTACTGATGGGAAGAAACATTTCTAATCCAACGACTGACCTAAGAAAAATGACCACACCCACCACTGCCCATGTTGATGACAAACAGGCAGGGAGCCAAGGGTCCTATAGAAAGACCTGATTATCAGCAGTCACAAGAGGGGGTGTCCCTCTTAGCCACCCCCTTCCCAGGTCCTCGGCAGGCCTCTCCCTTACACCCTTCTCTTTTGTCAATACCTTCCTCCTCCACCCCCACTCCAGCTGCTTTTTCTTTTCCTTTTCCTCAGAAGAGTTCCCCGAGCATCTTAGTATCTATAGGAACTCTTCAAGCCAAAGAATATTCTAAAATAAACTCATTTTCTCAATTCCTAACATTTGAACCAGCAGCTGTGCTTTAACTATATATGTGCTCAGCTAGAAAGCAGGTATTCTATGACTTTTCCTCATAGCCATGAATGCATAGCAATTGATGATCAGGAAGAACAAAAATATAGAAAGTAGCTTAGCCAATCAGGAGCTTCGTACCATACAGTACAGGTACTTTCCTAATAACTAGTAAGAATTTCAAGAGTATCAAGAGCTCACTTGGCCAAAGCCCAAGTTATTCAGATACTTTGCTCTTTCCCAAGCAGGGGGAACTCCACAAAAGAAAGAAATGAAAATGACAGGAAAAGCCAGAGACACAAACTTGAACCTTCTCCATGCATGGAGAACAGCCCATCCAGAAACTAGTGCTTCAGGATCTGATTTCTAAACATCGTGTGAAATGACACTCTTGGGTTACTTGAAGTACTGAGGATGGTCTACAAACTCTCCTGCATTCAAGGATATTGAATGTCCTTATCTCTCTTTGTCCAGGGTAATGAGGAAAGACTGCTCTCTTCTTGATTCTTGAAACAGCCCTCCTCCTTTGACTCTAGATTCTAAACCCATCATCGGGGTTATCCTACTGTCTGAATCATAACACAACATGAACTTTAAAAGAACAAGATGCAGTTGATAGTGATAACCGATGCCATAGAAAAAGGGAATTACTTTTAAGCGGAATCTAAAGTTAGAAGGCATTCACGTTTATTGTTCAACACCAAGGAATAATGCCTCAATGTTGATATTCGGCGATATTGTGAATTTTAAAATGTCCACCCTTTCTATTCAGATCAGTGGAGGTAAATAAAGGGCCAACACTGATTAAATCCCCACCAATCAAATCTGGAGTTATTTCTGAGGGAACAGAGATAAGATTATAGTTCCATGAGCCCTGCTTATAGACAATGGGTGCACATTCATACACCTTTCTAGTAATTTCTACTTTGTTGACCACATGATGAACCTGTATTGAAGATATCAAGGGAGAGGGAGGTCACGTGATGAATTCGGGCACAGAGGTGGGGCATTTGGTATCCCAGCAGAAGCATGTGTATAATCGAGACACAGAAAGCATCCCCAGACCCTCTGAGACCCAGGGGTCTGCATCCAGAATCCCAACAACAGGATTCACAGGAGAGGAAAGAGGGAGATGGTCTCTACCGATGGGTAGAATTTAAAAGGCTAAACAATGTCGAGTATGACATTAAGTAGTTCTAAATGGATGTCAGGAAAAAGCTCAAAGATACACATAATCCGAGGCCAGAAGCATCACTATGTAGGAAGGGGCTCTGTGTGCTGTCATCCAAAGTCAACATTTAAAACATCACATAGAAGCTGGGTACCAGTGGCTCATGCCTGTAATCCTAATTACTCAGATCCTAATTACTGAGATCTGAGGATTGCCGTTCAAAGCCAGCCTGGGCAGGAAAGTACAAGAGATTCTTATCTTCAAGAAACCAGCACAAAGGCAGAAGTGGAGGTGTGGTTTACATGGTAGAGCATCAACTCTGAGTAAAAAATCTAAAGGACGGAAGACCCAGGCCCTGAGTTTAAGCTCCAGTATCAGTACAAAAAAAACAACAAAACCAAAACCAAAAATCAAAAAAACAAAAAGCCTAGCAAACAGATTATACATCCAATTTACAAAGGATGGAAACTTGAGCTGTTTTGATGAAGCCAGAGCTGCTAGGGACCAGAAGCTATTGCAGATTCTCCTTCTAGCTATGATTCAAAGCACAGTAACACTTAGCTGGAAATTAAGCTAGACGGGGACTAATATTTCACTTTCAAAATATTTACTTGGAATGAACATTTTAAAGAGCTGAGCAGCTCTGTACACTGACACCCACAGTGCCAAGGAACCCAGCATTCTTACCTAAGTTCTGCTTCTCTTCAGACAGACCACGTGGGATAGAGAAAGAAAGGCCATACCTTCTTTAGGAGAGAAGTTAAGGAACTGATCCACTTCGTGAGGCTCCAGCTTAATCTTAGGGATGATTGTCTGGCATGAGGAATCAACCTGCAGGAAGAATTTCAAACATCATTCTTAAAAACAAACACCAACCTTAAAGAAACAGAGGCAAGCTCTTTATTATTTGCTTCCTCTCAGACCAGAATTGACTCTGCAAGCACTGCTTTTTTGACTGGGGTTATTCTAGTTCTTATTTTTCTTCTACCTTCCAAGCCTGACATTTCAGCGGATGGACCCCTCAAGATATCATCATAAAAAAGCTCAAGGCTGCCTACTTCCATTGCGTCACGCCTGTAATCCTAGCTACTCAGGAGGCTGAAATCTGAGGATGGATGTTCAAAGCCAGTCAGGGCAGACAAATCCAACTCTTATCTCTGATGAATCAGCAGAAAGGCAGAAGTGAAAGTATGGCTCAAGTGAGTGGAAAAAGTGGAGCAAGATGTGAGGCCCTGAGTTCAAGTCCCAGTACAACACTAAACTAATGAGTTAATTAAAAGCGCAAGCTCACTTATCACTGCTTTCCTCTACTGGTTTTGTGGGAGTCCAATGACAAAAATACTCTGGCACAATGTTAAAGGGTCACAGACCTCCAGTCTGTCTTGCAGTACAGTACTGTGTTCTGATTAAGCCACACCCTTTTCTCCTAGCAACCAATGACATCCAACCATGAGATACCCATACCCCACAGGAAAGAGCAGTGATGGAGCCGACACACAGGGCACTAAGCTTAAGCTATGTTACCTACACTGCTGCTTAAAGTTTTCTGGTCTAAGGAGACTAATACACTAAAGAGATCCAGGGATCTACCAAGAAAAGGTACCAGAGGCCGCTTTGGGGTTTTCCATCCATCACCCTGCATTTACTTAAAGAGGAGCAGGGGATACAGGAGGCTGTGGCTGTACAGAGGCCCAGAACAGACAGATGTTACATCTAGCTCACAGGGCATGGGACATGATGCCTCTTACTACAGTCACTGTTTAGAACCTGAGGCTCTGAGCTTAGAGGAAAGCTAGGACCAGAAGATAGACGAGCATGATTCTGTTCCAAGTTCAGACACTACTTGGAGAAAACGCCTACTTGCTGTAGGCCATGATGTTGGCCAAGAAAGAGATTCATGAGTTCTCATACTTTTTCAGAGACGACACAAAATGAACCCACAGGAAGGAAAATGCCTTAATTTGCTAAAGGCAACTCAGCACCGCACACGAAAAGCAAAACAGGACATAGAAACTAGCACCCCCTAGTGGTACTCTAAGGTAGGGATTCAGCCATTATCTCTTGTGGGCAGTACTGACATTTCAACTCTTGGACCTTACACTTGCAAGAAAAGTCCTCTGCCACTTGAGTAACACCTCTAGTCCTTTTGTCTTTACCTAAAAGTCATCCTACCTGAACCTCCAAAATAACTGGGATTTACAGGCATGTACTACCACTCAGCTTGTTTGTGGAGACTGGCTCTATGCTAACTTTTTCACCCAGGTTAGACTGCAATCCTCCTGATTTCTGAGTAGCTGGGACTACAAGCAATAGACCACCATGTCAGGCCCATCCTCAACCATTATCTTAACTATTCCTCACTCACTAGCTCAAAAAAAATACTATGAGGAATCTTTTTTCTTTCATCATAAATATTCATCTGGATGAATTTTTCATTTTGTAGTATCAACCAAAGAAAAATGAAATTAGCCTTGTTACTAATTTTCCTGGACAAAGCCTTTGTATTTTTTTTTGATTGTGAAAATGCCATACAGAGGTGTTGCATTTACATGGGCAAGGTAATGAGTATGTTTCTTATCAAGCATTGTTGCCTCCTCCTTCCCATCTCCCACCCCCAAGCCTTTGTATTTTGTGGACAATGTCATATAACTAATACCAACACCAGTCAACATATTTTTTTTTTTGGTTGGTCGTGGGGCTTGAACTCTGGGCCTGGGCGCTGTCCCTCAGCTCTTCAGCTTAAGGCGAGTGCTCTACCACTTGAGCTACAGCACCACTTCCAGTTTTCTAGTGGTTTAATTGGAGATAAGAGTTTCACGGATGTTCCTGCGTGGGCTGGCTTTGAACCTAGATCCTCAGATCTCAGCTTCCCGAGTAGCTAGGATTACAGGCATGAGCCACTGGTGCCCGGCAACCTATTCTTGATATTTTCATGCATACCTTGAATATTTAAAACCCAGAGAATAAATGCCTTGAGTAGAAATTTGTATCTTCTGATCCAACCTGTTTATATGGGGGGTGGAATGGGGGGAATACAGCATACCCCAGTATTGATTTCCAGATGGGGTTCTTCCTTCTCAAAAGGGGCGGAGATGGCTGTGATGGTTAGAGTGACCGAGGGAACCAGGCCTGGGGGCTGCTCCTCCGTAATCGGCTCAGTCTTGATGGTGGCTGAAGGGAAGTCAGTGGACAGAAACCATTTCTCACTTTCCACCTCCTCTGTGGAAGAAAAATAAGAGGCATGTGCGTGAGAACTTGTTCAGGCATTTGATATAACCAAAACGGATGACTATTGACCCACCTCCTCGAACAAAGCTCCAAGGAAGGACTGCCAAGTGGCAAAGAAAAACTGACAAAAGGAATATTCAGGAGGGAAGAGAAACAAAGAAATGAATGGTAACCAGGGGCCAGTGCCTCAGGCCTGTAATCCTAGTTACTCAGGAGACTGAGATATGAGGATTGTGGTTCAAAGCCAGCCCAGGGGAGAAAAGTCAGTGAGACTTGAATATGTAATTAGGAAGCAGAAGTGTGGCTCAATCAATAAAGCACTCATCTTGGGCAAAAACGCCAAGTGAGAATGTGGAGTCCTGAGTTCAAGCCCCAGTACTAGAACAAAAACAAGTAGGCAAACAAGAAGTCAAAGTCTACTTGCATATGCCTGCACGCTATATGGCTGAAGAAACCATGGAAGAATGACACAGGAGTGGAGAGACCTTGCTTCATGGGCAGGGCGGGAAAGAGGCCAGGTAGGTGAGGAATGGAACCATGGGAAATTGTCTGATGTGTAGTTAAGTTATGCATTTGGAGTTTTCAAACCAAGTCGCTGTGTTATCTACTCAAAATAAATATACACAAGAAAAAAAAAACAAGAGGCAAAATGGTTACCAAGCAAGGTCTACACACAGAGGATTCCCCATGTCCCAAGCACACAATTTTTTCTTTTTGTATTCTTCTGTCTTTCCACCCATGTCTTAAATCCACCCAGATTTCCCAACTTTGCTCAGCTGTTTGGAGGACTTCAGAGTGTGAAACAGACATGTATCTTTCGCTGAAATGGACAAAATACTCATCCGGGAAAAGGAGAGGGTCTGGGTGGGTCTCAGTCTCTTCGTGTTGCCAAAGTTTTCCTGATTGTCACTGAGCTGCGGTACAGAGAATGACCGGACAGGGAGATCCGCCACAGCCCCTCTGCCGACTAACACACATTCTTCTAGAAACTTCAACGGCACCAAGTTACTTCAGGGATAGAACTCCAGTCCCACCCCGGAAAAGCAGGCAGAGGATAAGAATGGAAAATCGAGGAGGCTGGAGACAGGGAATAAGGAAAGATGACCACCCCACCTGAGACCAGTTTTAATGAAATGAGGTATTAATGAAGTTTCATAGAATGAAGTATAAAGAAACCCAAGGTATGTTCTTACGCTTTTATGGGGAACTTTAAAGATACCCTACCTGCCCAGAGGATCCTCCGGAGAACAAAGCTGTTTATGAAATTCACTCAAGAATCTGACTCCTGGCTCTGTATTAGTGGCTCACACCTGTAATCCTAGCTACTCAGGAGGATGAGATGTGAGGATTGTGGTTAGAAACCAACCCAGGCAGGAAAGTCTATGCTAATCTTATTTCCAGTTAACTACCAGAAAGACAGAACTGGAGCTGGAACTCAAGTGGTAGAGTGCTAGCCTTGAATATAAAGGTTGAGGGATAGTACCCAGGCCCTGAGTTCAAGCCCCAGGACTAGCATGCATGGGTGCTCTCTCTCTCTCTCTCTCTGTCTCCTCTCTCTCTGTCCTCTCTCTGTGTCCTCTCTCTCTCTCTCTCTCTCTCTCACACACACACACACACACACACACAATCTGACACCCCTTTCATTCTGTAAAGGTACAATACCGGGAAGGGAGGGAACAGCTACTTAAAGCTTAAGTTCACAAAGATTATAATTGCATACAAAAGGCATTCACAACGTGAGAATTTTCCTTTGCGAATGAGATCTGTAAGCTGCTGACTGTGTGGTGTGATGGGTGTGGGCAATGTTCCAGCCCAGGGCGGGCAGGGAGAGAACAAGGGGTCTTCTGATGGCGGCCAGAAGAAAGAGACTACACATGCTTGGTGCAGAATTCTCTGGCCAGATAGGCGTCCAATTCAACTTAGAGAAGCAATCGGGACCACGGGCCAAAGGCCAACTACTGCTTCTCCAAGAGGCTAAGAACCAGGAGGTTACCCAGAGCCAGGGAGATCCATGCAGAGGAGAGCTTCAGGCAGAGTGGGCAAGGAACAGAGAGGCAGAGAACATAGATGGCACGTTCTTGGCTCTGAAGTAAGGCGTCGATGTCTCTACTTCTTGAAAGGAATACATACAAGTTGCCCAAACTGAGAAATATCTATACCTGGCAGTGGCTGGAAGACAGAGAACAAGATGAAATATGGCCACTGTGAATAATGAAAGGAACAGTAAAGGAACAGCTTTAAGTGTTCCAATTACCAGGAAGTCCTGAGATAGATCCCCACATAATAATCAAGATGACTGTGCTCCCACTTAATTCATGCATACATGCACACACATACACACTGTAAAAGTAAATATGAAATATGAATTAAATGATGAAACTGGTGCTCTCAATCTAGTGAAACCATTCTCAAATCATAGGCATATTCATAACATAAGTCAGGATGGCCTATATTCTTTTCTTTAATTTAATTGTCAGGAACTTACATTCTTGCTTGGCTTGCTTGCTTAGCTGGTGCTCTACCACTACAGCCAAGCTTGCAGCCCAGCCTTTTCTGGTTATTTTGGAGAAGGAGTCTCTGGGAATTTTCTGCCCAGAGTGGAACACGTATCAATAAGCTCCCTGAGTCATTATTTACCATCACAAAACAATAGAAATAACCAGAATATTAAACCACAAGAGAAAGGCTAAGTGCATGGCAGTGTAGTCATTCAGTAATACGTTTATATAGACACTACATTTACAAAGCTTCTTTAATAACCAAGGAAAGGTTTATACCAAGGGAAAAAATCTAGGCACAATAATATGCTACTTGTATAGCAAGTTCAAGAAAAAGGACAAAGAAAACATGCCAAAATCAGTAATATATCAAGAGGAAGATTCAGAACACTCAAGAGTTTTTTTAAAAAACCTTATTTGATAACACTTTATAGTACTTGGGCATTGTCTGCACTAGACAACTCTTGTCCCTACATAATCACTCATGGATATAGTTTGCTTTTCTCTGCTCTACTTTATGCTTCAGGGTGGCAGTTATTGGCTAGAAACTCCAAGGACTAGACAGGCCTCTTCAGAGTCCCTGGGCTGAGCAAGAGACACCTTATTATATGCAAATAAGTTGTATATCTGATCCGTTCTCTATCTATGTCTTTTGTCACGTGACTTTTCAGTATCCTCTACTTTACTATGTGACTTCATGTAGGCCAGCATATTCGTTTCTTAACACATTGTAGATTCTAGCTTGTTAAGGACTATCTTATGTTGGTGTCATCATTACCATGAGAAGGAGTGCCAGGATAATCTACTGATTACAGAGGAAGCATCACAGAAACAGCTGGATGCTTCCCAAGCGGAGCTCAGCCAAGATACAGTCAATTCACTGCTGGGCTTAGAGATGCGAATAAATGCAACTGAACCTAGCAGTGTCACCCAGAAGATCCAAATATGGACCAGTCAGAAAACCCCTGCAACAAATAGACGGGTGAGGTGTAATAATACAATGGTGTTTATTTCAGGAATCGAGGTGGGGGATGGTTGTTATGCAATGACATAGCTAGCAGGCTATGAGCAAGGAATTCTATTCCCAAGGATCTATTCCAACGCAGCTGCCTGCATCGATTTATTCCCAAAATAACTACTATAAACCATCAGCGATGGATCATATCCATACTAGCTAGACATACTAGCAGGTTACTTCACAAAGTAAATGATTTCAGATTTAGGAAGTTGGCTAGTAAGTAGTTTGGTGAGAACAGCATTTTAATGATACTGAGGGGAGTTAGTAGAAAAGCAACCAATCGGGGAATTATGATCTACAGAACTTGCAGATGGATGAGTTCTGTGATAAACCCAAACTACTTGACAACGAAATCGGGGCAGGAGGCTAGAAAAGAATGAGGAAATAAAGACAGAACAATCCTCTTTCTGTTTCCTCTCACAGGAAACAGAAAGGAGACCAGCCATCTCCAAGGACTCCCTGCTCGATTTATCCCAAAGCCAAGCTCTGTAAGGAGGAATACAACCAAGATGGCGGCAACAGGCTCCAGGGCCATCTCCTATCACTTATCTATGCCATGTGCTCTTTTTCTTGGCCATATTTTTTTTCCCCAGTAAACTTTTCTATCATGCTTGCTTACGTTTGAGTCCTGTCTGAATGCTTCTCTCACCAGGCACAAGGACCAAGAGATGGTTTAGCTGTTCTTCACTTTCTGGTAACATATTTGGTGTATTGACTGGGAAGTTGGAGGCTTGGACTTGGACTTGGACTCATTGAAAGGTTACAGTAACTGAAATTAGAGAAAAGAACTTTCATTCCAAACCAATGGGTATTGGCTTGTTCCCTCGTCCCCAGTAGAAATAAATATCAAATCAGAGAAAACAAAGGACAACTGTAACCTTTGACGTGTGTGTGTATGGAGGTACGAGCGGGTAACAAAAAACTGAGTGAAGGAATGAGTATTAAAACTTTACTCAGGATCTTATTTTTGTAGTTTAATATTATTGGAACAAAGATCGGAAGGTCTACTGAGACTTAGAACTAGCCATTTGAACAATTTGTTCAACTTTAAGGCCAAGAATCTGTAGATACACTATATTTGTTCATTTCTAAACCCGCAAACTCTAAAAATAAGTGAAAAAAGTGTTCTTGAGTTATATTTACACACCTTGAAAGTTCATGTCAGATAAGAAACTGCCCCAATAAATTTAGCATTGTTTACTATGGAATAGGAGAATGAGCCCTACCCTCAAATCATTTGATTTTGTACAAACAGCTTCCTGTTAAAGGTCAGACTCAAATGTCCCATCTCGTCAGCACTGCCCTTAGCTAGGGGCAGGCAGATGGAAAGGAGCCACTGTCTGTGGTCTGTCCTTTAACGTCCCAGAGCAAAGAGGCTCAACGCTCAGACAACCAAACACTCAGGAAGATCAAAAGGGACAGAAACCAAACCAGAAGCAACACCAAATGCAGATCTTCCAAACCCACTGCTAGAC